GCTCCTGGAACACTCAAAAGAAAGTACTTATACAGTACATGCTACAACATGAGAGACTCTTTTTGCCCCAACTTTTATTTTTTTATACCATGAGTGAATCTTGTGAATACTATGCTAAGTAAAAAAGGCCAGAAAGAAGATCAAGTCTTACATGCTTTCATTTGTATGAAACACCTGTTGCAGGCAAATCGATGGCCTGGGAGTGGGGACAGGGGGATGGGGGACAGGTTTATTTTTGGAGTGATGAGATGTTTTACAATTTGATAGAGGTGATGGTTGTTCAACTGTGACTACACTGAAGCCCACTGAATTGGTCCTTTAAAAGGGTGAATTTCATGATACGTGATTTATATGTTAGTGTACTATTATTAAAATATAAATCGAGGGCTGTAGCCACGGTGAGGGCAAGTAAAGATCAGGCAGTGGTGTTAGGACCCAGAGTGAGGTGAAGAGCCTCAGGGAATGATTTTTACCGACAGGGATGTGGAGCCCCAGGGCTGTGACTCTTAGGAGGCAGAACTGGTGGCTCTAGGGCTGGATTTCCACCTGAGCAGTGGGCAGCTTCACTGAGATGGAAGGGATTCTGTACTTAGTAAATGATACTGTAGCCCTTTGAGTCACCTATAGTTGCAGGGATGGCTAAAGCAGTACACGAAGTGTGGCCTCGCCTGGACTTTTTCATAGCTCGAAACATTTTTTATGTTGCCAATCTGCTTTCACCCTTTGCCAGTGAAGGTACCGTGTAGCGAGACAGCAGGTCTGTCTTCACCTGCAGAAAACGCCATCTTCCTGACTCCATGCGTGCCCCTCAGAGGCTGGCCTCCTCTCCTAAGAGGAAGGACACCTTGAGGACCTGGAGATGTTACAGTGTGGGCAGCACAGCTCATTGGTTGCACATTTGGGAAGGTATACATTTTTAAATTACCTTTTTTATTCATTTATGTATTTTTTGGTAAAGAGATCCTTCAGTTTCCTCTTTGTATCTATCCCCAATAACAAATCTCAAGTCTTATTTTTGCCATTGTGTGGAAGAACCCAGCTCTTTGGAGTTGGGTCTTCTTTCTACCACTTTTAATGGGGAAACCCTTGCTCCCAAGTGTGGAGGGCACCATCCTCTCAGGCTGACGATGGTGCAGCTGTTCCCCTTCCTGCACTCTCCCAGCCCGGGGCTGCAGGGAACAGGAATGTGAGGAACTCTTGCAGAGTTCGTCACAGAGCACAGGCTCACAGGAGGAGTCAAAGGAGGGAACAATGGGCGCTCTGACATCTTACCTTAGTGGACTCTTTCCAAAGACTTCTGTGTGTAGCTGAGACTCTTACCAGGCATTTGAAAAACTTCTAAAGAGGACCGTTTCTAAAAGAGCTGAATGCCTGGCCATTCACAGAGGTCTGTTTTCTTATTACAGGTTTCTGAGATAGCTTGGGCAGGAGGAAGGAGTCTTGGTCTGTTGTAAGCAACTCCAGGCAGCCTCAGGGAGGCCATGTGATTAGTGCAGACGCTGCTCTCTCAGTGAGTCTCACTGACGGACTGCAGGCTACCCGCTGGAAGTTGCTGAGTCCTGTGGGCTCACGTGTGCTGGGGAGAGCCATCTCCTACAGGATCGTTATGAGGATCAAATTCGACAGTGGACACAGAGCACGTGAGGCATGGCCTGCTGGCCACGGGACAGTTGCTTAATTTCTAGAGATTGTTTCATCAGATTGTTTGATTGTTTCCTTCACTTTTTACAGAGTGAAAACGAGGCCCTGTGTATTTTAGGGTAGTTGAGAGGATAAAATTGGGTACTCAGTACAGTTATATAAATATTAAGGTTTAGCTGAAGACCTCCACAAAGATCTTGGTAACTTTTTACAGAGTTATAGCACTTATGCATAGCACCCTCTTTTCTGACTGTAATTCCCTTGGTTACTTCATTTGAATCCTTTCTAATTTCTACATTGCTTATGGTGATCTTCATAAAAGAATGTCTGAGCCTGAAATATAGAGGAGAAAGTACTTTCTGACTATTACTTAAAGATTATATGTGGGCTAAGAATGTGTCTCAGCTTGCCTAGTATGCGTGAGGTCAATGCCTAGTACCAGAAAAAAATGTATGTATTTACCTATACTTACATCTATATTTGTATAGTATGTCTATTGCTATCATAAAAGTGGTATTACTGCTTTATAAAAATTTTGAGGCCGGGCATGGTGGCACATGCCTATAATCACAGCACTCGAGAGGCTGAAGCAGGAAGATTGTTGGGAGTTCAAGACCAACCTGGGTTGCAAAGTGAGTTCAAGCCAGCCTGAACTGCATAGTGAAATCCTGTCTCAAAAAGACAAAAAAAAATTTTTTTTGAGAAGAAAATTTACCTATAACCCCATCATTATAATAGGGGTTTTATGACTGTACATCTGTTCTCTAGATAGATATCTTGAACCACAATCATATACAAATATGAATCTTGCTTTTCCTCTTATAAGTGTTTTCAGTACTGGTAAATGTGTTTGGTATCTATCTTGTAGAAAGATAGATGATTCAGTGGCGTAGGTGCTTAGCATTGTGACTGGCTTATCAGTGTCAAAAATAGGAGGTAGTTGTTATTATATTATGATTATAATAGTTGGCATTATTTTTATAGCTTTACTATTTCCTTATATGGCGATATGTGGCATCTGTCATACTGCTGTCCATATGTGGAGCCCTCAGCACTACTGAAGAGTCTTGCTCCTCTTCATGAGCTCTTGGAACATCCCCTGCCCTATTTTTAGATGTAGAGAGATAATTTAGTAGGTAGAAGATGGTGTCTCATTATTTGGATTTTATGTATTTATTTATTTATTTATTGTGGTGCTAGGAATCAAACTCAGGACCTTGTGCTTGCTAGGCAGGTGATTCTGCCCCTGAGCTATATCCCTGCTCTCCCCTATTATTCAATAATTACTGGTGTTGAACTTTTTATTGTGTGTTTACTGGCAATGTTTCCTCCTTTTTAGGTCTAGTACCTATTTCTACTTAGTCGTTAGAATCACTTAACATTTTCTTGTTGCATTACCTGGGCTCCTTAATAAAGATACTCTTTGTCAATCAGGCTGCAAATATTTTTTCTGAATATTCTCTTATTTTGGTTATGAGTTTTTAAAAAAGTACACACACACAGCATGAACTCTCTTCCACTGTATCTATTACAAGGAATTTTCTCACTATCCTTGCCAGGGATGATGGTGTGCCTTAACACTTGGGGTAGTTAGGTGGTTTCAGAGGTGGCTGAATCTGGAGTACGTGATTGATTCATGGTGCAGTACTAGGATTAAGGGCGCTGGGATTAAGGCTGGGTGATTGCTGAATCAGTCTACTGATTGGATTGGCCCTATCCTATTCCGCGTAGACTGCATACAACATAAGGGACAGAAAGAGGCTCGTCTCTCTCTCCTTCCCTTGTTGCTTTTGCTGTCTTCTGGCTGCCGTGAACTGTTTCTCCTCTATGATGCCTGTCACGCCACCCTGTCTTGGAGCCAGCTGATTATGGACTGAAACCTCTACAAACTATGAGCTAAATAAACCTTCCCCCTTTAACTTTGGGTGTCAGGTATTTTTGTCTCATCAAGAAGAAAAGTAACTACAACACGTGGGGTCCTAATGTAGTGGACACACATGTCTTTCATGGTGAAATGTAATTTATTTGCGACCACAGTTAAGTGCAAAATACACAGATTCTCCATAGACTCAGAGAACATTTCCTTTGATTTAGGAAAATGAGGTAGACAAGAAGGATGCTAACAAAACTATTGCTTGGTTTTTATCACAGGTTATCATTTTAGCTCTCAGCGGCTGCTGACCTGTAGACATCCTCTATCCTCTCCTCTGGCACTGCTGTGCCTAAGAATACTGCAGATGCTTATTGTCCACTCAGCACAAGGCCTCAGCAGAGTTCTCAGGAGACCTCCTTGTTCACCTACTCTGAACCCTGTTTCAGGTTTTTCTTTCAAGGAGACAGTAGTCCTTGGTAAGATTTGGGGATTACGGACGTGGAGAGTGTTTGTGAGGATGACAGCACTAGTGCATCTACCTTCTTACCAGTCTGTGAACGCTAGCTTTTGTTCCCGACACTGAGCCGTCCCACCTGGCGTTCTGTGTCATTGCCCTTGGGATCCTACGTGGGTGTCCTTGGCAAAGCAACATGGTCTGGATGACAAACTAAAGAACCTTCAGGCATGGCAGAGGAAAACACGAAGATCACCCTGACTAGATTTTAGGGTGGAAACCACACTGCTGTTCTTCCTGGAGGAAGTGTGTGTCTCTTTTTAGGGTGATGATGGAAGTTGTAGTGTGATTCTGACATGGTCATAAAGACAAACAGAAGGTCCCAGGCATAGGAGTGACCAAGTGGGAAGCTAGCTGTGAAACTAAACTAAAAGCAGCACAAGTATAATGAGAAGAGACCTTACGCTAAAGGAATGTCCTCAGAGTCACTTCTGGAGTGCTTGCAGGTCCCTTTTAACCCTGACCTTCCATTGCCCTTTATTGCTGGCTTCCTTTTCAGCTCTCTCTGTTCGCTTGCTGAGGAGGCCTGTCCTTTCTCATCATCAAAATCTGCATGGAGGTCTTTAGAATCCTGATAGGTGACGTTGTAGAGGGAGACCAGGCCTGCCCAGGGTTTCATGTTGGTGTAGCAAAGATGACGGCACACAAAGGCATCTCATTGGCTTCTGAGTCTAGATCTATAAATATATTTATTATAATATAACAAGAACTTAACAATAAACATATACTATGTACAATACCATTACAGAGAACCCTGTTTTATCATTCACAGAAATAGCCAGTTTTGCTCCAGTGTGATAGATGAGGAGAGAAATGGAATTTCAGTGTCATCTGTGGAGTCTTGGTGACCACTAGCACCTCCCTTGGAGGCAGACACACACCAATGCTAACGTTAGCCCTGCCCCAGGCAGTTAGGAATTTGTGCTCCAGTCCTTGGGTTCACACTTGCACCCTGTTTGACATAAATACTTTAAATGACATACAATGTATGTAGTTTTGTGCTTATTACTTTTTAAAATAATAAATAATATTAAAAACTGCATAACGAAGCTCGGTATCTTGTCCAAGTGGGAGCCACACTTGTAGTGCTAGAAGTTGGTGCCCAACATCAGGCTTAGAATTTTGTGTCAGCAAACACTGAGCGATGGAAGCATGTTCTCTTTCTCCTTAGAAATGATTCTTCTCATGAAGTGATGGTGAGCTGACTTCCCAGATAGAAAAATGGTATATGTGTATTTGGTACCAACTTCAACTAAACAGCGTGGTGGCGGTGGCCTGCTTCCTGCCCTGGAATGGAAACTGATGACCGACCGGGTGAGGTTTGAGGGTCTAAGGACCAGCGTATAAGGCCTTCCTCCTCTGAGCCTCAGCATGTCCTCCCTCCTGGCTTCCCTTTCTTCCGGTTAATATGCCACTAGAAGAGTGATTCTGCTCACGCCCTTCAGGCCTTGGCTGTCATGGCTCGTCTAAGAAGGCTGTCCCCATCCTGAGAGCTCTTGTGGCAGGTGCCTTAATATATAGCTATAAATATCAAAAATAGTCTCCTGTGCTTTGTAGACATTTCTTCTCCCTCCCTCACTCCATCCCTTCCCCCTGGCCTGGGTCCTCCCTCCCTCATGGAGGGAGTTGGACTGGGGTCAGGAGCCACAACTGTGTCCTTCTAGATAGGCCCTTCTTCCTCTGACGGTGCCTCTGTGACGCACAGTCCTGGCAGGGCTGTCTGGGAGATACTGTTTCCAAAAATAAAGCGGGGGCATGGCCCACCCCAGGAGAGATCCTCTATTCTGCACATAGAAAAACGAGAGCAAATACCCCCTCTGGCACTACCTACAAAGAGCTTTGGGATTTCCCACAACAACATCCCTCTTGTGGCCTCCGCCTTCTCTCAGTACTTAAAAATAGCCTTTTGTTTATCAAGAAAATGCCTTGGAAATCTAAATAATTCATATTGGATAAGAGAAAGCTAGCACAGCCATCTTGTCCTTCTCCAGCAAAAACATGGTAGAAAACCCCGCGAAGGACAGATGACGTCTCCCCAGCAGTCCCTGCGGCTGCCACCCCTGGCTCTGTGTGGGCGGCTGGATTTCTCTTCAGTCCTGGCAGGGACCAGCAGCCTAGGCCTTGCTGCATAGTCCTGTCCCCCGTTTTCTCTCGGCCACTGAAAGTGTAGATTGATTAAAAAACGAAAGTAGGAATCAAAGTGGTAAGGACACTTTGATCTTATTCCCAAAGAGCCTGATGCTTAATATTGTCGTAAGGTAACTGATCGATGATGGTTTAGGGATCAAGCTTGCTCTGCAGGAAGGAAAAAAACAGCTTCTCTCTCCCAGTTGAAAAATATGTGAAACTATTGCACCGGGCAGAGCGAGCGCCCCTGTTCGGAGCAAGCGCCTCCACAGGAGCCAGCGAGCCCTGGCTGTCGCGTTCCGCTTCCTGTGGCCTTGAGCACTGTGCCCCTGCGCCACCCAAAGGCAAGGATGATTTTCTACATTCAATGTAGAGTATTCAAAATGTTTAGCGCAGTGAGTTCCTTGGTTGGGTTTTATTGGCCTCTTATTGGTGTTGCTGAAAATTATCATTGTGTATAGCATTTGCCTCACCAGACTTGTCCACTGTCTTGTCATGGGCTTTCTGCTGATGTCAGCCGCTTTGAATATATTTCTTTATCACCACGCAGCCGTGTCTGAACACAGGGCAGGGCATGTGGGGAAGGAGGGTCCATGTGTTGGTAGTAGGCTCATAGGCTTCCATGTTGCCCAGGGCAGGCCCCTCGCTGCTGACGATGCCTCCGGTTGCGTAAATCTTGCCATCGAGCACCACGGCACTGTCAGAGGGAAAGTGGGCAGAGATTTAGGCCTTGAACCTCCCACTTGGGCCAGGAGATAGACTCCCAGTGCCATGTCTGCTGCAGGTTGTCTGCACCCTCTTGCAAAGGTCACGTGGTCCCTTTTCTGCCCTGTGGCCCAGACTAACTTAAAACACCTGTCCTCTAGGCATGACCAGGACATAGTGCTACCCTATTCTGCACACAGAAACACTCGTGTTCACTAACTTTCCAGCCCTGCTGAGAGACAAGCGACACTAGCAGAAAAGCCACCTCTTGTACAGGCACTGGGCTCAGGCCACTGGCCCTTTATTGTCTTTTTGTGTTGTACACACAGAGCCTTCCTTCTGCTCAAATCAAATTGGGAACATGACTCACAGGAGTGCCAGGGACAGCACAATGAGGACCTCATGTAACTGAACACTCGCCGACTGACGGAGCATTCTTCCCCTGCATAAGGGCTCAGAGTCCAGCCCTCCTGCTGAATCCCTTAACATGTTTGACCTAGGGTTGCTGTTGCCCATGTCTGCAAGGATCGGGCATGCCCTGCAGGATGCTCAGTGTCCTTGTGGGGGACTCACTGGCTTAGTCCTGTCACCCCGATCAGCAGTTGCATCACTGGCCCAGCATCTCACCCCTCTCTGCACTTACTCCCTTGATGCATTTTGGTTATCCCGTCACATGACGTCCAGACCCATCTTTCTAGCCCTGAGGTCTCTTGCTCAGTGGTGGGCCATTTCTTCTTGGCTAAGCCCTGGAATCAGACACAGGGCTTTTTAAAGGCTCCACCTGTTTCTGAAGTGCACATGTCTAGAACACATCTGTCTGGAACTTTTAGAAACAATGAAGTGTCCGGCCTGCTCTATTGCAGTTCCTGCCTCCCAGGGTCCTTGCCACCTTCCCTGTAAGGCCAGCCTTTATTCTGCTTTTCTTGCAAGGCACTGTGTAAATCTCCCCCCGACATTCAGGCTTCTCCCCTCTTCTCATTTCGGCCCCCAACCCTGGGTTGCCTTTATCAGTGAAAGTGTATGTAGTCAACCATGTTCTGCATGCTGCCACTATGAGATGATGTCCACAAAAGGACAGCTGGAGAGCTATAGACACCATGCCAATGAGAACTCAGCAGTCATCCGGCCCAGGGTTGCAGGCAGAACCCTCCCAGAGCAGGGAAGTTATTGGCCCCAGGTCACGTGACATGCTAGGAGTAGGCGTTACATGTTTTCTAGCTGCGCTAAGTAAATGTCAGGCACTCAATACATGCTTTGTGCTATTTCCACACTGAGAATTTGGTGGCTCCCTCTGCATAGACACAAGGTGTCTTCAAGAAGGACCTGCTGTGGCACTGCTGATGGGGGGCTGGCTGGAGCCCTTTCCCCTTCCTTGTTCCTCTTGGTTCAGTAAAGGACAGGGCTGGAAGAGCGGAGTCTTGTGTCTCACAGCTGTAGCACCGGGCGGCTGTGGAGCCACCATACATGGGCCTTGTACCTGTGCCCTGCAGGGACAGATCGGGTGCTCTTACCCACTCAGCCTTTGAGACAGCGGAGCAGCCGAGCCTCATGCTTCTCACTGGGCCAAGTCCTCACTGCCGTGGGGATCGTGCAAGCGACCTGAGCATCTCCCCAGGAAGCTACTTGTCCCTGCATGGCTCTGGCAAGTCATCCCAAGTGAGCGCTGCCCTCATCTGTGACTGCAGGAGGGTGGCCTTGAGGCCTCCAGGAGCCACTTCATTTCCAGCTGGAGCTCAGCTGGCCACCGTGCCATGCTCCGCTCTGGTGCTGGCACCCATCCCTGCGATCACATCTCCCCTGTGGTCTCCCCACCCCTTCCACAGCCCCTTACCTGCAGAACTGGCGAGAGTGATTCATGTTTGGGCCTGCCTTGATGTTCCCTTTGTCTGGGTCATAGATGGTGGTGGCTCTGGCATAAGCCCCACCCAGGATGAACACGAAGCCATTGAGCGTGACTGCAGGCGCGTACTTGTTGTCTGTGAGGACAGCAGAGCAGGTGGTCAAGACTCAGCCTTCCCTCCCCTTTCTCTCCACCCTCCCCACCCCCGGAGCTGGAAAGAACCCAACATGTTGCTCCTGGGCTTGAGGACAGGCCAGGGCAGGGGCTTGCCCTTCTGCATGTGCTGGCATCCCTGGCTACTCCTAGGCTTGGGGTGCACCCACTCCACACCCCACACCAGGTCTGCAGAACTGGCCCTGGTCTGGGATGCGGAGACTGAATGAGTCACTGAGGTGGGGGCCCCGCTGGCTCCGGCCAAGGAGACCGATGGTCCTCACCGATCATTGGGGACTCAATGAAACTCCACGTGTTGGTCTGTGGCACGTACGACTGGAGGACGCCCGCAGCTCGGCCTGCTTCATTCACCCCGCCGAACACATAGATCTTGCCGCCACACACGGTGGCTGCTGCCGAGTGCACTGCCTTGGGCAGGGGGGCCACTGCCTCCCACTGGTTGGTGATGGTGTCGTACCTGTACGAGGAGGAGTGGGGTCTTGTGAGGGCCACAACCAAAAGCCATCTGCTTCCTGCCCTCAGTGTCCCTGGTGGAGGTGAGTCCACAGTGGGGATGCTGGGATGAGTCTGTCCTGGCCTCCTCTTGAGCCTCAGGGGGCGCCTTTCTGTCTGTCCAGTCTCTGTCAGCCTCTGCCTCCTAGCTTGGCTCTCAGGGTGCCCAGCCCTGGGCCCATTGGCCCTCTCTCTCCAGCTTAGTCCTGCCCTTCCTACAACCATGCTCCACTGACGCCTACTGTGTATCAGGCTCTGTGCTGGACCTGGTGAGACCGGGTGAGCCACGCACCACTCCTGCCCCAGAGGAGCTGGTGGCCTAGTGGGAAGATGGCCAACTGAGGCAGGCAGGAACTGGTTACTGTGTGGGATGGAAGTAGGGTGATGCTGAGAGGGACTAGGGTGCAGGCAGCAGGCCCCAGCCTGCTCTCATGGGCAGGTTGGGCTTCCTAGAGCAGTACTAGGCTGGGCCCGGAAGTGGGCAGGAGCTAGCTGGTGGGTGCCAGTGCACTGTGCAAAAGCACTGTAAACGAGGGAGAGGGGTGGGCACAGTGGCACTGGGGAAATTCAGAGCAGTTTGGAGAGGCCAGAGGTTGGGGTAGATTAGGCAGCCATTGTGCCCAACTCAGAGAATGGGACTTGGGTATAGGCAGTGGGGCAGGCCTGAAGGTTTACGCAGGGAAAAGACATGCTCAAAGCTGGACTACAGGGGTCACAGCACCTCCAGGATGGAGATATGTGCGAGAGAGAAGGCTGGGAGGAAGCAGGAAGACTGGTTAGTTAGGCTGTTAGATGGAAGCTGGAGAAGCGAGATGTGGCAGCGGCTTGGGCCAAGGGATGACAACAGCATGAGGAAGGGAAACAGGAGAGGGGGTTGGGAGGGTCCGATCATTGCTGGATGTGGACTGAGGGGGACAGAGCTGCCCAGGATGACTGGGGAGGTGGGGTGGAGGTGGAACGACTCCGGGACAGGGCACCAAGGCTAGGGGAGGGGAGCAACTTCAGTTCTAACGAGTTCACAGAGTCTGCTGGGTGTGTGAGGGGTGGGGAGTGTGTGAGTCTGCACTGAGCAGTCAGCTTAGGGGTCACAGGCACGATGAAAGAAATCAGAGCTGAGGCACACACAGGAAGTTGGGGACATTGGGCTGGGGACCGCTGGGGGGAGGTGTGTGCTGGCCACTGAGAGCAGTGCTGAAACAAGCCCAGGAGGAGAGGGTGGGTCAGACAGCCACCTGCCGCACTTGGAAGGGCAGAGGGCCTCAACAGTGGAGGATGGCAAGAGAGGGCACGGAGTCCCAAGCAGGTCACAGTGGTCCTGTGACGGGGGTGCTCAAGGTGGAAAGGGATGCAGAGGCCACCGCATCTAGTGGAGAGGGGAAGTGGGGGAGCTCCACGGTGGGGACTGGGGATGGTGGGGGAGGCTTTTTGGAGGAAACTTAGTGATGAAGAGGGGAGGAGGTGGCACCAGAAAGAATATGAAGTCGAGAGGGGCCGGCGGGATGCTGACAAATGCTTACTGATTCCCTTCCTGAGGAAAAAGTCCTGGTGTAATGTTTCCAGATATCCAGGCTGCAATTCCTCCCCACTGTCCGAGGACAAGCTGCCAAAGGGGTGGGGTGGGGGGGCTGTTGCCACCACTGCCTAGAATCTTCCCTGGAGCTCAAGAGCCATATGGGCCCTCAAGAGCAGAGGGCAGGAAAGCAGACACCTAGGAGGTGCTGAGCTGCGAGCATGAATTGTCTTTGTTCTGCATATCTGTAAGTATATGACTTAACTTTTAATAAGAGCTGTGGTTGACACCTGGCCTGTAGAGCTCCTGAAATTGAGTGAACATGAACCAGCTCCAGCACACACTGGCTTTGGTTTATTGTGGGGGGGTTGTGTTGAGTTTCTATACTGGATAAGGAAAGGCTGAATATGTAGTCAGCCCTCCAGCTCCACATACAGAGATATTTGGGGAAAAAATCCTGTCCATACTGCACATGTAGAAATTTTTTTTATCATTCCCTAGACAATATAGTATGAGAACTATTTGCATATCATTTACATTGTATTATGATGGTTAATGGTGAAGTGATTTGAAGTCTTTAAATATACAGGAGAATATGTGTGGGTTATATGCAAATACTATGTTTTTATTTTTTTTTAAAGTACTGGGGATTGTATCCAGGTCCATAGCATTAAGCTACATCCCCAGCTCTTTTTCAGTTTTTATTTTTAGACCAGGTTTTGCTAAGTTTCCCAGTCTGGGCTCAAACTTTTGAACCTCTAGCCTCAGCCTCCCAGAGTGCTGGGATTACAGGTATGTTACCACACCTGGCATGTAACTTTTATATAAGGAACTTGATTAGATTTGGGTAACTGTCCTCCATGCATGTAAGGAACCACTGAATATGAAAGAGGGGAAGCTGGGTGCTGTGGCTTGCACCTGTAATCCCAGAACTCAGGAAGGCACTTATAATCCCAGAACTCAGGAAGTTGAGGCAGGAGGATTGCTTGAGCCCAGGACTTTAAGCGTAGAGATCCCATCTTTAAAAAAGAAGGTAGGGTGGTGCTGATGCTGTAAGCCTCCCAACAGATGCAGCAGATGCAACCTGAGTCCCGAGTAGGCAGGAGAGAGGAAGAAAGGCAAGGAGACACAAGTGTGGGGCACCAGTGGCAGTGCGGACGGGAAGACTCCCGAGTTCTTGACTGGTGGCCCCCTTTTTCTTTGGGAAATCACTTGGCCCAAGCAGTGGTGGAGTCTATGGGAAGCCTCAGAGAGAGAGGCAAGGAAGAGAAATACCTGCTCCTGAGAGTGAGGAAGGAAACCCCAAAAGACTGCCTTGCACACTTAGGACTGGGTAGAGGGTGGAGGTTTCGGTGTGTAGTGGACAGGTCTGCAGTAGGGCAGAGTGGAGAGGCAAAGGGTCAGTGGAAAAGCTCTGCTGAACCTTCAGGTAGGACAAGGTAGCGAAGTGAGAGGATAGAGGTGTGTTGGAGCAAGAGCGCCAGGCAAGATGGGAGAAGAGATGGGAAACAGCTGCTGAGAACAGTAGCACTGAGACTAAGCAGGCCGGCCAAGGCCTGGGATCCCTGAGGTCTCTCTTTAAGGGACAGCCACGTGGCACTCAGTTCTCGGCTTGGGTCTGAGGAGAGGCTGAAGTCTCTGAAAGGGCAGCAAGGCTGATTCCCTTCGGCCACGGACGGATGACACGAGGCTAATATGCAGTGGAGTTAAGTGTCTTTCTGGACAGTGTCTGAAGTTCAGCTATCTATTTTTTTAACCAATATGGCAGAGATCCAAACAGCTCCTGCAGAAGGAGCTGGAGACAGAGGAAGATTATGTGGTTGTTAAGTCCTCAGTCTTTCGATATAATGGCACATTCCTACAAACACAAATTTCCTGAGAGCTTGTTATTCCAGGTGGCTGATTGCCAAGCCACGGGCCCTCCCGTCAGCTCAATCTGTCAGCTTCCTGCTTGAGAAGGATATGCTAATGACATGCAAATGACCCCGCAGAGTGAGGCACTCCGCTATCATTTATCCAGTAACCACAGCTCCTGCAATATATTACTATAAAATATTAGACCCAGTTATTTATATAATGATATAATACAGGTTTGTCTACGGCACTGTTGTTTTAATCTATAATTATATAATCTTGCTCTATTCCTGTGATACAGTAATATAATATAATTATAATGCATCATATATTCCATTCATTATCAATATAATAGCAATTTGTACCATTAGTGCTTCCTGGGGAACAAAGCGCCCTCATGTCTGTCCCCATTTACACAGACCTTCCTGTCACCCTGCATTCTCACATTACTACCATGGGCACGGACATGCAATTACCCACAGGGGCTTTGTTCCTTGGGAAGCAGGGGTGTCTCTCTGCCTAACAGATCCCTGTGGGCCAAGGAAGGGTTCTGGGACCCTCAGAGCTGCTATCCTAGCCTGTTCCTCCATCCACTGGGGTTCCTGGGCTCCCCAGCCAGCAGGAAGGCTGAGGCCCCCCGGGGAGGCTGGTTCAGGCAATACCAGAACTTCTGCAGAGCCCAGGCAAGGTGGAGTGTGTCTCTACCTCCTAGTCACTGCATTTGATCCTTGAACAAATCCCCACATTTATCAACAAGTATAACTTTGCAAAATGAGTAATCAGTGTCTTAGGAGATTAAAAATAGCTGACAAAAGTAAGACAGAATGACAGATCCAGCTCAGTTTACTTCTACATAGGAAATGTCTCCGTTTTTACATGTTTATTTTTGGGTTACAAATGATTGGAAGCTGCTTCTGGAAGGCTTAGAGCACACATGGCCATATAGCAGGTCACACTGAAGGCCCCTAGCATCAGGCTGGTCTGGTATTAATGCCCTCATAATCACACAGGGATTCCCCATTATCTTCAAATCAATGTGACAATTAAATGTTGTTACACAGCCATCTCTGGGCTCCACTTGGGGGAGTTAAAAGCCCACAATGAACATTCAGAGCCTGTCTCACTCTGCAACCATCATTGCTGTAACATTTGTCAAATGTCCAATTAGCCACAGGGTTGGGGTACAAACTGAGGGTGTGTGGCTTCACAGCAGGAGGATGTGACAAAGGAAGGTGTGTTTTCTGGTGGTGGCTTACGGGATGGGCCAGATGCAGGAAGGATGAGGGAAGAAGGGCTCTGGTGACTTTAACTGTGACCCAGGTTGTAATCATGGGCCAGGTCAGCCTAACCTGTCACTCTCTGGGGCACTAACTTCTCCCAAAGCAGGACTGGAGGCTTCACAGGCTGCTGCATCACGAAGCTTCCCCACAAATCTGGGCGGGTTTCCGCAGCTCTTCCCAGGCTTCTGTTCTAGTAGCAGCAGCTCGCCTGGCTCAGAGCAGAGGATCTCACTGACCCCCAGCCTTTGCCCCAGGGCCCATTTTGACCTAGAGTTGACAGAGGCCTTGGGGAGGAAGCAGCCTCAGACTTCCAGCAGAGGGCGGCTAACACACGTGAATCTTGAGCTCCTGGGCTTGTATTTTCTTCTGGAGAATTCCAGATGGCCAGACTGTGTCCCCAAATTGCTTAGTTGTGTGTGGCAAACCTCCCCTGAATTATCACAGATTTTCTGGGATATTTGAAACGGAGGAGAAAGGGATGTCCTTGGCATGTAACCCTCTGCTTGGCAGGGACAAGAAGACTTTGCCCCCAGCATGCCCACATTTTGGCCGTGGGTTCCAGCTTTGCCCCAGAATCCTGGCAAGCCTCTGGGCTTACCCGAGCAGACCTGCCTGCACAGTCTAGCCAGCCCCTCCCATGCCTTTCTGCAAAGGCTCTTGGACCTCCGTCTTGTCTGACACTGAAGTGCGATGTTGACAAGTGTGCATATCTAGTGCCTGGGGAAGGCTGAAGCAGATGCCTCCTGTCTGCCTCACATGCTGTGGTCCCCTCCTGCCACTGGGTTAGAAGAGCCTGGCATTGTGGACTTTGAATGTCTGGGCCACTGACACTGAGGATGTGCCGGGAGGAGGAGTGATGTGATTTCAGCTTTTGGTAAACATGGAAAGACACCCAAGCACTGTGAACTCCTCACCTCTCCACGTGGTCCACATTGCCCGCCACGCCAAGTCCCCCCAGGGTGTAAATTTTCCCATCGTAGACAAGGCTGTTGTGCCGGCAGCGTGGGACTGTCATTCTGGAGACCAGGTTCCAGTTATCGAGCAGGGACATGTAGCACCAGACATCGGCCAATGTCACCCCAGATTCCATCCCACCTGTAGGCAGTTTAGGGGTACAGAGAGTAGACAGGGGCTGAAGAAGGGTCCAAGGATGGCAGGCCCAGCCCCAGGGTCAGACGAAGAAGGCTTTGCCTGCAAAGTAGACATCCTGGTCCTTGGCTTCCTTCAGGCTGGCCATGTGGGCAGAGCCCCTTTAGGAAGCCCTGTACCAGTCCCCACCCAGCCCTGAGGGGCCTCACCTGAGAGGTAGATGTTGTCCCCGGCACTCACTACGCTGAAGAACTCCCGGTCATAGAAAGGCAGCGAGGCCAAGGGGTACCACTTGTTGTTCTGCGGGTTCCAGCAGGTGACAGCCACCAGCGAGCGCTGGGTCATCCCTACCATCTGACGACCCCCAACCAAAACGATGACCTCGGCCACACCTGCAGGGACACAGATGGGCACCTTTGGGACACACTCCGACATCAGGAACATCTGTGCCTGGCTCTTCTCTGAGGGACCACCCCCAGCCGAGTTGACCCTCAGCGCCTGCAACTGGGGTGTTCATGCCTGCCCCCCAATACCTGCCGAGAGGCGGGGCCGGGTTCGGGGCGTCTGCATCTCCTGGCGGGCATGGGGCAGCATGTGGTAGCGTTTGGCCTCGTTGACCAGGTCCCGACAGGCCTCTGAGGACTTGATCAGCTCCTCATTGTCCACGACATTGAGCAGGTAGCTGGGGTGGATGAAGGGGAGGCGAACCACGGCCAGGAGCTCAGCTGCGTGCTGTGGGGGAGGGGGACACAGACTCAGCCTCCCAGGAAGGAGCCTGCTTGTGAGTTGTATCAAGAAGGAAAGAGGCGGTGGCTGCCCACCGCCAGAAAATTTGGCTTGGTGTGTGGCTCGGACATGAAGACACTACCCAGCCTGGCCTGACCAGAGAGGCGAGGAGGGTAGCAGGTGCTCAGGGTGGACTGTCTACTCATCCCACCTGCACCTCCAGTCTGCATGCTGCCCAGGTCACGGGCCCTGCTTTGTGCCAGGCTGCTGGGGGCGGGTGGCACTGAGCCAGAGGGCGTGAGCCTGAAGAGATGAGTGTGGCAGTGACTCAGGAACAGACAGGAGGACCCAGAAGAGCTTAGGGACAGCAGCTGTGAGGTGACTGTGAAGCCCGTATCTTCCCAATGCCACAACTGCTTTTGGGGTGTTGCCTTGTCTCCCATGCGCAGCCGGACCCTCTTTCCTGTGCTGAAGGCTTTTCATGGCTGACTGGAATCTCCTCTGCTGTCTGGCAAGCTGTGCTGATCGCTTCACTTTGGTGGTACTGAGCAAACAGCTGGTGACCACCGCTGGCTGTGCATTAACTCATTACTGGGGGTACAGACCAATGGGACCCCCTCTTTGACCTCAAGGTGTCCACAGTTTAATGGGAGCAGGAACAGGAGTCTATGTAGGGCTCTGACTGGCACAGGAGTGACAGGCACCATGGAGCAGGCATCTCAGCTGGGTGTGCACGGATGGGCAGGGGTGTGGGAGCGCGGACGGGAGCAGGTTACTTGGGGAACTGTCTGGGGCTGCTTCTTGTGGATGCAAAAGGTTTTTGCTGGGTAGGGGGGAAATTAGGAGCAGTGAGGTCGGAGGGGCTGGCAGAGCTAGGACTGGCTGACCTTCTACCTTGCTGGCCAGGACTGTGTAGCTTCTCCTGCAAGACGATGTAGGAACTAACAAAGGGCTTTAAATCGTGGGGACACAATCTGATTTGCTCTTTAGAAAGAACACTGAGGCTATAGCCTGGAAAATGGATTTGGAGGCAGCAAGATGGATGGCAGGGAAACCACTGAGGCGGCAATGGCAGTGATCCTGGTAGGATGGGCTGGAAGTGGGGAGGGTCCATCTAAGGGGAAGGAAGGAGGCAGAAATGAGCACTGTCACCAATGAATGGGAACTAGGTGAAGGACACTGGCTCGTCTTGGCCTCACATTAGGAACCCAGGAAGAGGAGTGGGCTCGGCCTGGTGAGCGACATGGACTTGGGCCCCTCTGCTAGAAATCCCCAACATGTGACTGAAGACAGAGATCTGGAGCTCTGGGTTGGGACATAGGCTTGGGAGTTACAGTGTGTTGTGCTACCACTGTTACCAACTGCTCAACCTAACTTTACTCCTCTGCAAACAACTCTTGCCCCTCCCCACCTGATTAGTCCAAGGACACCCTTCCCCTGGGCTCAGTGGCTAGGTCGGGGGAGACATCTATGCACCCCATAGCCACCCAATTGCATTGATCCTAATACCAGTCTATCCCTCTTGACCTTGCTCCTTCTTTGCTCTCAATGAATGACAGTCCTCCTAATCCACATCAGTGGCCTCAGCTCACTCTGGGGTCAGACCTCCCTGACACTGCTCCTCCTGGTTGAGCCCTCACTTCTGGGCTATTGTCCCCTTTCTCTGTTCTCTGGGTACATCTGGATCCCTCCTGCAGATGCACATCTGGGCTCCTTCTCCTGAGAACCAAGGCCACTCCCTTCTAAGCAGGGTCTCCAGCCAGGGCTTTCTGGAATGGGCTGGTCCCACGGCTCCCTATGACTTGGGCACTTTTCCGGGAACACAGCTGTCCTCTTCCTCCCCCAGATGCTGGCTTTGGTTTCTCCTGCAGTCCCTTTCAAGGACCTCCTGTTCTCTCCTGTGCATGTGCAGTGGTTCCATTTGGTCCACCCAGGTGCTCCCCACTTCCTTGATAGCCAGAGCACGGCAGGGACTCCTCCTGTGGCTCTGAGCTCCTGAGAGTCCTCAGCACCTCTCCCTGCAGGGCCAGGCTGCTGCCCAACCAGACCCTGCAGCCCCAGAGTCAGCGTGGGTCTTCTTCAAGGTGGGATGGCTGCTCTGAAGGACCCTCTGGTGACTGACACTCATCCTTAAGCCCTCTTCCTCTCTCTTGCTGCATGCAGCAGAGGCAGGACCAACCTCCTTGTCTCCTGCCTACTGGCTCCCACGTACTCCCCGTGGGTAAGACATGTGGCCCTGCTTTAAGCACCTTCCCTCATCTTTGCCGCAGACCTCACCACTGCAGGGTTCCCTAAACCCAGACAGAAGGGGTGGGGACAGGTGGGCCATACCTGTGCCCGTGATGCAGGATCTTTCTTGATCCACTTGATGACTGTCTCATACACCAGCTCCTCGGCCTTGGTGTTGAGGCTGTCATTGGAGATGTAGGCGATGAAGTCGTCCTTAGAGATGCTGAGGATCTCCTCCTGGACCGCCACCTCGGGGAAGATCTGCAGCGCGAAGGCCTTGGCCATGTGGTAGAGCTCACTGCACTGCATGGCCTCGGCCATGGCCAGCACACCCAGGCAGTTGCTGGCGGTCAGCTGCTTCTCTGGGGGTGAGAGTGCAGGACCACTGACCCAAGGGCTCTGGAAGGGTCACCTCTTGTTCCTATCACCATCACTGGATTCCCCTCTGAGCCCATCTCCTTGTGACCCAAACTCCAGCAACCATAGTCCCTATCAGCCCCTTCTTGTGTCCCTTAGATCCACTTCCCAGGTTGCCATGTGCCCTTTCCTTTGCTCTTGTAGGTCCTGGCACAAGGACCAGGGCTGTGAGGCATGAGTTGAACTTCCCTATTTGTGAAGAAAGGGCCAGGAGAGCCTCAGAGCCTGGGCCTGGGCCACACAGAGGCTTATGGTGTCTTCTGTGACCAAAGACATGCCTAAGGCCTCAGGCTCCCTCAATTCACATTAATGGTGGCCCCCTTACATCATGCACTGTCTCCCATGGACCCATCCTCTCCCAGACTGACCTTCTAGAATCTGATCTGCCTCCTGAGATCTGGCTGATGGCTCCACTAGCCTAGACAGGAGGCCCCCAACTGTCCTCACCTGAGCTGCTCCCATCGGGTGCAGCTCCTGGCCTTCTCTCTTTGGATGCCACACCCCAGGTAGTAAGCTCTTTGTGATGCTTATTCTCATCTCTCCCTCTTCCTGCAAAGTGAGCCTGCTTTGGCCTGGGAGAACCATTGACACCCAGATTCCAGGCCTGTGCAGCAGCTCTGAGCATTCAAGGGACAATTCAGATGTCTAGGTATAGACATGAGTCTGATTTACATCAGCTTAATAAGTTCAAGGGAGAACAAGTATGTAGCGGCTCTGTTCAGGGCTTAGAGGCTAGGACAGGGAGGCCAGGCCCCGCTGCACCCCTCAGCAGACTGTTGGCACAGCTGCATAGCCCACTGGCTTTGAAAGGCCTGCTGGGCCACGGGGATGCTCTTCCACTCCGGGAGCCATGACTCAGTCCCCTCAGGCCATGCCTTTGCATCAGGTCATCCAAATGCTCAAGTAGAACAGCATGGTGTTGGGTTTGGTCTGTTGAGTGGGGACACACACTGCCCTCCCCTCTCAGTCACTGCTGGTTTGGGATTTTTCACATGTCTTCATTAACCTGCCCCAAGTGACACACGGGCCCATAGCAGCCTCACCGAGAAAGGACACACAGACTTTGCAAAAGGTGTGGAACTGGAACTTGCTGGCTGCCTCTAGCAGGGTCTTGGCGTTGGCTGAGTCGATAACCAGGGAGCCAGTGTAGACAAACTCCAGCAGCAGCTCCAGCACGTCGGCCTGAAGATTAGACAGCACCAGCTCCAGCTTCTCTCGGCTGCCTTGGCTGCCGTCCTGCACGGACCTAGGCACAGAAACCAGCGTGTCCTCACCTGCCACCCCCGCATGCTCGCACGGCCAGATCTCCCTGTACACCTCGGTCATGCCCTTCATTTAGGATTCAAAGGACACAGCAATGACACACCTGAACCTAGTGACCTGACACGGGATCTGAAAGAGAAGAATCTGACCAGAGGCGCCCAAAAGAACAGAAACCCTGCTTATCTACTCGGCATGTCCATGCAAAAAAAGATGCAAATCAAAAAGCATGAGCTGTGGATGGGGACGAGGACCAGGACTGGCCTCAAAGGGAAACAATATGGCGTCAGCACTACCTGGGCCCCAGGGCCCATCCAGGCCCGGCCCACTGCCTCAGGTGGCAAATGTGAGAAGCGAGGCTTGGGAGGCTCCTGATTGGCTGTCACCCCAGCCAATCCCGAGGCTTCCTCTGAGTGCCCACCTGGACACCCGAAAGGACCCTATCCCCACCACTTTGCAAAAGCATATTGTTTCCTTTTAGGCATGGAAAGGAAGCCCTTCATGACATTGCTTTGAAACTGAAGACGAGACGAGATAGACGGACAGAATGGTTAGAGCTGGGAGGGGGGAGGGGAACAACCAAGGACTTCCGCCACAGACAGCCAGCAGCCATGACCTGGGGCCTGGCCCGGGGCGGGGCCCTCCTGCCACATGGAACACGGGGTCAGAGGTCAGAGTGGCCTTCGTGTAGAGTGTGCATCGGGCTTGTGAACTGGGGGGAGCAGGGGAGGGACACAAATATATCAGTATGTTTATATCTGGTGTCTACAGAAATACAAAACCATTGCAAGGGCTCCTAAGGCCTGGCAGCCGCGCCCTATAGCTGGACCTGGAAGGAAACAGATAAGATGAAGCAAAAACAACACGATACAGAAGTGTGGCCAGAAGGAAGAACACCCAGGGCGTTAGGCAGGAGGGGGACTTCTCGGGGCCACGGCTGGGCCACTGCCTCTGAGCCAGCTTTCCAAACTGGGCCGGGCCCTGCTCTGCAGCCACCCACTGCCTTCTGAGGGGGCCAGCAGTCAGGACACTCGGGGCTGGTCCCAGGGCTGCACCCGTGGCTGGTGCAGCGGTGTAGCAGTGTCTGGCAAGAGGGCAGGCTGGGCACAGAGAGAGAGGCCAGCTGCTGGCTGAGTGGGTGATGGAGCACTGGCAAGGAGCAAAGGGACCTGGGCGTCCTGCTTTGCCACTGACAGACGGGCAGCCTGGGCCTCTCAGGCTTCCAGCCTCTTCTGCAAAGCAAGAGGATTGAACTGGATGAGGCCTAGAGTTCATGGAGATTAATGTGACAGAGGCTGGAAAATGCCTTCGCAAGGGATGCTTTTCTGCGTGACAGAACCTGCAGTTCCACTAGAGCAGCATCCCCTCCTGTCAGGGCCCCTAAAACCCACATGCAGCCTGGCCGAGGGAACTTTATACTGCAACCCTGGTGCCTGAGCCAGTGTCCGGGAACCCTTCCAGGGCTGTCACCCTGGGCCCTCCCCACAGAATGGCTCACTGGCCAGGGGCCTAAAGGGCATTCTGCTTCGCAGCCCTGCACAAGAGTGGGAGCTGAGATGGCAAAGGTGCAGACCACACAGGTTTTGGCAGAGGCCTACCCCGCCGAGTGACTCCTAAAATGACTGAGCACCCCTAGCCTTCTACTGTTGGGATGGATTCCCACACTTAGGTGGCTTTTTTAGGTATAAAAATAGTTCATTATATGCTCACCTGAGATCACAGAGATCTGACTACCCCAGGCCTTGCCTCATCATGCCCTTCATGCTCTGTGGAGGTCATGCTGGGTCACTGTGCAGCAGGGCTGATAAGGTCTAAGCTGGCTGAGTACCTATTCCTTCTCCCAAGTCTCCTAGTAGACTGCCATCTCCACCACTGGCCAGCCTAGCTGTTGCCCATGAGTCCTCAGCTCAAGGAGCTCATGCCCATGAAGAGCTGAGGTGTGATTCCAGGATGCACATGCCCCCATGTGCACACCCTCTCATGCACTCATGCACACACACACACACACACACACACACACACACACACCAAAAGCACGTGACCCTGGCTGGTCCAGTGATGAAGGCACTAGGCAGATGGTGAGTCCATGGCCCTGATGGGGCCAGCATGGATGCACTGAGGGATGCTGCCTGTCTCACCCAGAGTCTGGGCCAGGGGAAGGTCCTGGGGACCGGGAGGCACCTGCATGGCTGAGGAGCACTGAGATTATTATTATTATTATTATTATT